CGGGTGGCTTTTTTTGCCTAGGGCGGCAAAAAAAGCCAGAGCCGGCCCTGATGGTGCTCACTGACTTGGGAGCCATTCAGTATTTCTTTTTATCCTCATGATTCCTTATGTTGCCCCTGGCATTATTTACTGCACATCCAAACCCCACAACAAATGCAGAATTACTTTCCTTACAGATTTTTTGATGGTGCTGTCATTGTAATATGTAGTTTGTTACAAGCACTAATGGGTTTATTTTCACAACACCCAACCGAGGTGAGGTGATATCACCACTTTATACATGGGGAGCTGAGGCACAGAGTCTGTCTCCTATTGCCATCTCAACCTCATTCCGAGTGTACACCTCCTCCCTTTTCCCCCTGCCTGTCCTCCCTTAGCAAGCTGAACCCTTCTATACCAATAATGCAGTCATGTGAGTATCCTACCAAGTTTCTGTTATGCCAACTATGTCATAGTTGAGTTTATTAACTAGCATTTCTAGTTCTTCCTGCTTATTCCCCAAACTTCTCACATTAGTATACAGACATCTACGATACTGATTGGATTTTCACTCTATGTTCTCTTGTCTATCCCTTATCCCTGCTATAAAAGCCCATGCTCCCCCCAGATTCTGACTCTTCTCCCAGGTCTCCATGTTTCTTTGACTTTTGTCTCCTTTGTGGGCTTTTGTCTCCTTCCCCACGTCAAACCTAGTTTAAAGCCCTGATCACTGGGTTAGCCAGTCTATATCCAAAGATGCTCTTCCCTTTCCTTGATAGGTGGATCCCATCTCTGCTGAGCTGTCCTTCTTCCCGAAACAGCATCCCGTGGTCAAGGAAGCCGAAGCCCTCCTGGTGGCACCATTCTTGCGGCCAGGCTGCATCTGTCTCTGCCTGGTCCCTTACCCTTGACTGGAAGGATCAAAGAGAACACCACCTGTGCCCCCAGTTCCTTCACCCTTATTCCCAGAGCCTTGTAGTCACTTCTGATCTGCTCAGGTTCACACCTCACAGTGTCATTAGTGCCACATGGATGAGCAGCCTGGGGAGTATTTAGAGGCTTGAATGATCTTCAATGGTCCCTCCACAATATCTGCTAGCCTGAACCTTCTTTGATGCAAATACAGAATGGGGCAGGAGCCTGGGGATTTCACCAGTATGCTTAGGTCTCTCACTAGTATAAACTGCCCATTATAAGTCCATGTCACTATGATATTAAGAAGACAGTCAACTTCTCCAGCAGAGGAGGTGAAATCCCTGCTACGGGGAGGGGAGAGATGGTACAACCCTCAGGCTCTCTGGCTTTATATAAGAGGGTATGCACAGAAAAAAACACTGTTTGGTTGCTATCACTGTTAATGGTTGCAACTGTAAAATTCAAAGGCAAATAGTAGCCATATAGCACTTTGATGTCAGCATCCCATAATGACTTACAGTAAACTGTATGGCTAATGCTATAAAAATGCTCACTCACTCCCAAAGAAACCCTATCTGATTCCAGCCCTGTTCCAAACATCCAGGGAATGGGTTAGATGAATCTCTGAAAATGAAGAATTCCAAATTCAGAGTGTGGCAGATGAAAGCCTATTCACAAACTGTTACAGTTCCAGCAATGGGGAGGAATTAGTCTGTAAATGCAAAGGACTCGCTGCAGTCTTTCAGG